AAAAAAAAAAGAAAGAAATAGAAAAATGGAAATTATTAAAATTGAAAAAAAGGAACCTGCTTAGAGATATAAATCTGAGTATTGCATCTTCCCTCAAATAAATGATAACCATTTTTTTCTACAAATGTTGGTCCATTTTTTTTTTTTTTTTGGACAACTGCTTGTTGCCAGGCCTAGGGAGTGCCGTGGCATCAGCCTCGGCTCACAGCAACCTCCAACTCCTGGGCTCAACGATCCTCCTGCCTCAGCCTCTCCGAGTAGCGGAACAGGCATCTGCACCAGACCCGTCATTTTTGTATATAATATTAGTTGGCCATTAATTTCTTTCTATTTATAGTAGAGACGGGGTCTCGCTCTTGCTCAGGCTGTTTCAAACTCCTGACCTTGAGCAATCGCCGCCTCGGCCTCCCAGAGTGCTAGGATGACAGGCGTGAGCCACCGCGCCCGGCCTGTCCGTCCCTTTTGACCATGAGCAGGATCGTAGTATATTGGGGAGGTGTCGTGCATTATCATGGTGTGAATATATGTGGGGTGCAGTAGTTTGGACAAGTGGGCTGTGGGTTTTTGCCTTCATGGACAGGAAGCGTTTCAAAGGCTAGATGTTTTGGGCTGATGCATATAAAATGCAATGGAAATGTGCACTTTTTTTATTGCACTTACTCTAGCAGCTATGGAGATAATTGAGTAGCCTGAATACTGGTGATTTCCCCATAACATTGCAGCCTTCTAGCCCTAGGCCAGGAAGTTTCGATTCTTAGGCTTATTTATTTATTTATTTATTTATTTTTTGAGACAGAGTCTCGCTTTGTTGCCCAGGCTAGAGTGAGTGCCGTGGCGTCAGCCTCGCTCACAGCAACCTCAGACTCCCGGGCTCAAGCGATCCTCCTGCCTGGGCCTCCCGAGTAGCTGGACTACAGGCATGCGCCACCACGCCGCTATTTATATATATGTATATATATATATATATATATATATATTAGTTGCAATTAATTCTTTCTTTTTTATAGTAGAAACAGGTCTCGCTCAGGCTAGTTTTGAACTCCTGACCTTGAGCAATCGCCCGCCTCGGCCTCCCAGATGCTAGGATTACAGGCGTGAGCCACCACGCGCGGCTCTTAGGCTTATTTTGATAGTGATTTTTCAAAGAGAGAGGCCACAAGACACAAGGTCAACCAAGAAGTCAGTTCTAGCCTTCAGGATTAAAGTAGTGTGGAATGAAAACATCTGGTGACGAGGAGAAAATGCAATGCCTGCCTTTCTGTATCTCTGTTCCCGTAAGCAAGGAATCAAACTTGAAGCAATAGGATTACAATTAGGTGTAATTTTTTGTGGAACATTTAATCACATTTGTTCATGCGTGATATTAGCTTCGGTGTGCAAAGTTCTGCCTTCAAGGGAATAAACAGACGTATCAAATATAAATGGTATACTTATTAAGCTACTATATATAGACATGTAGTGGCAATAAAGCTGCTTGAGTGATATAAAAAGATGGAAATAATAGGCATTTAAAGGAGGAACTATTAAGTGACGGAGACAGCACCAGAGTGCTGTTGCGGTAATAACCTGGTTTTTAGATTCGTCAACAGCCGGGCTGGTGATCAGGAGACGTGCAGAGGGTCCTGCTGTTAGAACGCGGGACACACACCGCGCTCGATGCATGTCTCGGAAGCAAGTCTGGGAGCCAAGATGGATTGAGAGAGAGTAGCAAGCCTGGGATCTGCAAGAAAGGCCAGAAGCAGGCCTGAGAACGCTGGTGAAGGTGTATGAGTCACGTCATGAAGAGCAGTGTGCTTGGGCTGAGCCACGGTTGAGGGATGGGAAATGAGATCGAATCCAGCAGGCCCAAACATGTGGGGGAAAATTCCAGCTTCTTCACGTGTTCACACCGGGAGTCAGGGTATCGTACATCTCCGTAGCACCTTGTAAGAGTCGCGCAAAAGATAGTGTGCTGGGGCATGCTCTCTCCCACGCAAAAGCTGTGGCTTCTTGTCTCCGAATAAACCTGCAAGTGGTACGTACTGTGCTGGAACAACTACCCTGCTCCTACTCACAGATACACGCATCATAGGGATCCATAATAGAGAAAAAATAACGGAAGCCAACGTTTTAATTAACTGCACATTTGACTGCCATAGACTAATCTAACCAATTTGTTTTTATCAAGCAGGAGAAAAGACTAACATTTGAAAATGATCCATAGCTTAATTATAACTTGTGTTGCCATGTTCTTACCTATGAAGTTGTAATTTCTAGTAAGCCTACATTAAAGGTCATCAGGTGTATGATTACATGTTGGGTTGGCCACAGGATTTGGTTCAGAATTGCTGCGGTCGTATACCTTCTTTTGAGTTCGTTAAAGGGTGAGCGCACATGCATTGTTAACTCCTCGTAAGTCACACTATTGCACACACTGGGGATACGGGTGCGGGATATGTGGGAGGTGAATTCAAAGCTTAGAAGGGTCAGGTTGTGATCTTCAATTCTTTCAGCTTTAATGCCTGTAACTGATTTACGCTCCCCAATCCCTAGTCATCAAATCATTAAGGTTGCGATAGGGCCAGGAAGTGTGCCAGAAGAAGAGTGTGGCTGAGGATAGGATGAGGCGAGTGACTGACTTCCCAAAACAGCAGTTAGGAAGATCCAATACTTGCCATGTGGACTATCGAAGATGAGTGAGACTTTTACTGCTACGTCAAAAAAATATTAATAATATTACTAGGACAGTAAAGATAGTATTAAGCCTGTTGCGAATCTTGCTTAATCACACAGGCTCTGCTGCCTTTATTTAGGAGGAGTTGATAGGTGTAGAACTCCTGACCTTGAGCAATCCGCCCGCCTCGGCCTCCCAGAGTGCTAGGATTACAAGCGTGAGCCACCACGCCCGGCCTCTTAGGCTTATTTTTGATAGTGAGTTTTTCAATGAGAGAGCCACAAGACACCCAAGGTCAAACCAAGAAGTCAGTTCTAGCCTTCAGGATTAAAGTAGGTTGTGGAAAACAGTCTGGTGACCAGGAGAAATGCAATGCCTGCTTTTGTATCTCTCTTCCCCTAAGCAAGAATCAAGGAATAAATTACAATAGTTTTTTTTTTTTTCATTTGTTTGTTTTGGTGGTATAATTATAATTTACATGGAGTACAATGTAGCGATCTTAAGTGGAAACTTTAGTGATACCGGTTTTTAGAATTCAGCAACAGGCCGGGCGGGCTCGGTGGCTCACGCCTGTCATCCCAGCACTCTGGGAGGCCGAGGCAGGAGGATCGCTCGAGGTCAGGAGTTCGAGACCAGCCTGAGCAAGAGCGAGACCCCCCACCGGTCTCTACTAAACATAGAAAGAAATTAATTGACCAACTAAAAATACATATAGAAAAAAATCAGCCGGGCATGGTGGTGCACGCCTGTAGTCCCAGCTACTCAGGAGGAGGCTGAGGCAGGAGGATCGCTCGAGGCCAGGAGTTGGAGGTTGCTGTGAGCGAGGCTGACGCCACGGCACTCACTCTAGCCTGGGCAACAAGAGTGAGACTCTGTCTCAAAAAATAAATAAAATAATAAAGAATTTAGCAACAGAATTGCATCACCAGCTCCTGCTGTCTTTTTGGGGTGTGGGCATTTTGGTGCATCGGGCCTTCCTGCTAACCACGCCTCTGCCAATGCTCTAGAATATTCTGTCCCAGCAGCCGAGACAACAGCCACGGTCACTTCAGAACAAGCAGCTCGGGTAGACCCGTGGGCTGGGTAACACAGTCATTGTCCGCGGCGGGGACATTGCTAATGACGGGGAAGGTAGTTAAGGGCAAATGTCGCGAAACACATCCGCTCTGATCCCCTTTCTGCTTGTCATTATGGTGGCTGCATCTGCAGAGACACAAGTTTCCAGAAGGTGACCTCTGCACTCTGTGATTCGGGAACACAGCGATAGCAATTAGCGGTGCACCTGGAAGAAGAAGAAGAAGAAGAAAAAATGCTATTTTGAGCCACACACGAAACACGGATTTTTCTCGAAGCAATCGAGATATTGCCAAACCAGTTGCAAGGGCCAGCAGGATGAAGAGGAGTCGGCTAATCTTGCAAATTGTACGTGCAAAAGGGCATTCAACTGTGGCACTGTTTTCTCTTTGCAAAATATATATATTTTTTGGGGGGTGGGCAAATGCCACACACTGTACTGTGTCCGGGAATGTCGCCGCGAGTTAGATTCTGCCTGTTTTTTTTTCGGTCGAGTGTTAAAAAAAAACATTTTATGACGGACGTTTGGCTGTAGATTGTGTTTCCCTGGTGGTTCTAGAGTATTTTTTTTTTTTCTTCTTCTTGGCTGCTGTGTTATTGAACCTCAGGGGCACTCTGGCAACTTTTCCTTCTTCCTTTGTGATCCATTTACCTTTCAGATGTTCTAGAATCTTCCATAATGGAGACTGGGCTGTAGCTATTTCAGTACGAGCGCACACACAGACACACACACATACACACACGTACACACACACGGGCATGTTCTGGCGGACGAGCTTCCAGACATGGACAGTTGTTGCTTGGTATCCACAGAGCATTGGTTCCAGAACCTTCTCCCGGCCACCGAGTCCCACCGTCAGCCCTGTGAAAGCCCCTTTGCAAAAAATCTGGCCCCTCCCATGCTCGTGTTTCACGTTCCTCTAATACCGTGTTTAGGGTCAGCAGTTTATTGGATGCACAGTTGCAAAACTTGCAGATAGGGTATTGGGCAGGTGGGAGGGGGGCGGGTATAGACATACATAATGAGTGAGATGTGCACCGTCTGGGGGATGGTCATGCTGGAGACTCAGACTTTTGGGGGGATGGGGGGAAATGGGCATTTATTGAAACCTTAGAATCTGTACCCCCATAATATGCCGAAATAAAAAAAAAATATATATATATTAAAAAAAAGAAACAAACAAAAAAAATAAACAAACTGAAGATGTTGTCCATTATACAAAATCTGAAAATTATAAGTATGAATCATATAAAAAAATAAATTACCTTTTGAACCCTAAAAATATAAAAATAAATTGTGACACCCTGATACTAGACTACATATCCTATAAAAATAAAGATGTCCCCTTATATAACCACAATATTATTACAACTCCAAGAAATTTAAAATTGATATAATACTGTTTAATACAGAATATATTCACTTGCTCCTATTATCCCAATAGTATCCTTCATAGCTATTTTTGTTTGGTTTTGTAGTCGGCATCCAAGCAGATCCAATTTAGAAAATCATGCATTTTTAGTGAAAAAAAAACGAGACAGAAGCATGACGACGACTATAAGTGCAGATAAGAAGGGCGTGACTGTATTACTATCGATCCATTTTCTATTTTCTCTTCTTTCCTTTTCTGTTTCCTTTTCTTTTTTCTTCTGTTCTTTTCTTTTTCTGTTTTCTTTTGTCTTATTCCTGTTTATCCCATTCCTGTACCTTATCCATAAAGAAATATCCTTGCCTTTCCTGGAATTTCTTTCCTTTCTTTCCTTTCCATTATTTCCTTTCACTGTTAGCATCCTTTTTATTATTTCCTTTTTCCATTTTACTAATACTATCTATTTGTCCGTTCTTCCTTTTCACTTGATGTTTATCCTTTCCTTTTCCGAGTTTTTTCTACTTTTTTCCTTTATCACTTATCCGTTATGTCCATTTGATTTTCTCTTTTCTGTTGCATTACTGCAGAGTCCTACTATTATTGCTTGCCTAAGGCTACAGAGTTGAGTGCTGTGGCGTCAGCCATTCTGCTCACAGCAACATCTTTCCAAACTACCTGGGGCTTCTATCTCAGCTGTAATCCTTCCTGCCTTCAGCTGCGTTCCTCGAGCTTAGCTGGACCTTACAGGCAACGTTGCGCTGTCCACGTTTAGCATGTAGATTATCTATTCTTATGAACTGTGTGTCCTCGGTTCTCATTTTGTGCTATATGTTGTTTATTTTATTTGGTCCAGTATTATGTGTTCCTATGGGTACTTTTTTAGATAGAGACTATGGTGGTTCTTGTCTCTGCTTCTATTTGTTCTATCTGGTCTCGAACTACTGATCTTCTCGAGCGTATCTTCCTTTGCTCTTTTTTCTGGCCTTCTTTCCCTAGTTTAGCTGTGCTGGGATTACAGGTGTTGATTGTCTTATTTCCTCTGCTTACGTTTCTATTTCTTTTCTTATTTTTTCTTTTAGTCTTTCTCTATTTATCTACAGTCTTCTTATTATTGTTTTATTATTTATTTGTGTTTAGGCGTAGTGATAAATGACAATAAAAGAAGAATAAAAAATTAAGATGCATTCACGTGTAAGAACAGAGCAGCGTTATGGGTGATGTATTGGATTTCTGTGGCTGCTTGCGACTGTCTTTTTTTTATAGCTACGGAGCAACGTCTAACCTTAATTCACCTAAGATTTTAAGATAGGCTGCACCGGCTTTTGTTGCATCTGCAAACTGGGACCGAAGGAAACTTCAGACAATGGCGAGCTAATTGCAACTACAGATTTAGGCAGCTTAGCTCTGCGCTTTTGCTTTGTTTGCTATAAATGCGTCTGGTGTGAATTGGCCGCAAGGCAATTCCCTCCGCTCTATCTTCTTTCGCCGTCGCTCTCCCCGTGTTGATTGCTTTTCTTTTAGTTATTTTTTAATTCTTATCACTCGTCTTATCTTTCTAAATACTCTCATCCTAAATCTACTGCTCACCGCGCGCGCACAGTATAGAAGGTGCAGATGTGTAAATGGGCTCTAGATTATTGTGCCAGTCAACCGAGTGGGCCCAGACCGTGGTTCCTTGCTAGGACTGTCGAGTGTTTCTGGATCCGATTCCTTTGATCTCCTGCATGTCTAGGCATGACATTCGGTCATTATCAGACTGTTGTTTCTGGTGGTCGCGGGGGCCTGGTGCATTTCCCAGCATCTGGTTATTAGGCGATGGCGGTGGGCGATCGTCGACGGTCCAGTAGTATTTTCGGACCTACCTTGAGCAGAGCGAGGACGTCGTCCCTCGGTACGAGATCAACTATGATTATAGATAATGTTATAATTTGGTCCCAATGTAAATACATAGTGTATATAAAATTGAGCCGGTGGGTGGTGCGTTGTGGCGCGTGCCTGTTAGATCTCCGAGCTATCTCGGGGGGAGGCTGAGGCAGGAGGATCGCTTTTGATGCTTCCGGAGGAGTTGTGAGGTTGCTTGCTTAGCGGAGGCTGACGCCACGGCCACTTCACCTCATAGCCCGTTCAATGAGGATGACTCTGTCTCCAAAAAATAATAAATATAATATAATAAAATAAAAAGGCATGTGTTGTCAGAGATCAGAGGGCTGTTCTTCTCTCTCTCTTTTTTTTTGAGACAGACGTCTCACTCTGTCAGCCCAGGCTAGAGTGAGTTGCCATGCGTCAGCCTCAGTCCAGCACCTCATCTCCGGCTCAAGCCATCCTCGTCCCTTTCAGCCTGCCGAGTAGTTGCTGGACTACAGGCAGGATTGCCTACATGGCCGGCTAATTTTTTGTATATATATTTTTTTAGGTCATTAAGTTATTCATTTGTTGGTAGAGACGGTGTCTCCTCAGTTGCTTTGTTTTATACTTTCTGACCTTGACTATCCTTCCTGCCTTCTCGGCCGGTTGCATTGATATTGCTTTTAGATTGTATCTTTATTGCTTGTTAGTCTCACTTGCTGCCTCTGTTTTTCTGTTCTCTCTTATAGGAGTGGATTTTATGTGATGGATATATCTTTTATTAGACTGGAAGTGTTATATATGATCTTAGTATTGATGAATTTATATTGATTGTGTGAGATCGTTCTTTATTTTGATGGAATTTATGATTATTGGATGATCTTCTTTATTAGTATGGAATTTTTGATATGTATGGATGTATTCCTTTAATAGTATGGATTGGTTATAGTGCAGGTTGGTTTCTTTAGAGGTGACCTTCTCTACGTACTCATATTCTGCTTCTAAAACTCTGTCACGGGTCCCCGGCTTGGCTGTGACGAAAACAGTGCGGTGATCAGCGGGCAGTAGCAGTCACTCGATGACGTGTGCGGTTTTCGAGGCCGTAAGCGGCCACACACCTGAGTGCCCCCGTTCACTCAAGTTAACATGTAAATGGGGTTTTTTTTGTATGAAGCTACACTGAGCGGAATGAAAAAGTATAAAGTAGTGAACAGTTGTACCCTCTTTGGAGTCAGCCATATCAATTTATTTAGGACAACACTGCTCCTTTGTCTCGCTTACTTCACTGAGAATTTATTCTGTATTTTCTGATGGAATGGGAGAGTACAATAAAGGAGGGCGCGTACCACCAAAAATTACAAAATTTATAAGGGAACACACCAATCTAATTTGACTATATACTTGCTCTAGTTATCTTTTAGAAACAGGTGGGGAGGAGTTGAAGAGAAAATAAAAGACACACCTGGAAAAGTGTTAGGAGGCATCCCCGTGGGTCAGGCTGTGAGGGCTCTAGGTGGGGGCGATAAGTTGCGTATTTGAATTCATCAACGTGCGAAAAATGGAAAATCGCAATCAGAGCCCATGAGACAAGGTACATCACAGTCCTCTGAGTTTCGGTGTTGGGCCCGGCAGACAGAGGCGCTGATGGGGATTTTGAGTGTGATGTGCAGCAGGTCTTCTGACAAACAAGAGAAGTTTCCAGAGGGAGAAAAAGAGCTGGGCATTTATAACCCTGCTGCCCGAAGTTGGGGCCAGAAATAATGGCTGAAGTTGCACAGACCCCGGCGGAGGAGGGGTGCAGATCCCGGCCGCCATCAGCTGCCGTTCTCTCTCGTGTTTTTGGCTTGATTAGTTTAGACGGTACTATATATCCCTATTTAGTTTGCGCAACAGGATCACCCTCACTTTGTTGTTTTCTCCCTAGGTGGGTAAGGGAGGGCTGGACCGGAAGGTTCCCGCCGCCGGGGGGAGACCTATTAGCGCAGCAGCAGCCTTTCTTGTCGGTGAAATTCCTTACTCTCGGTGCCCTAAGCCGCAGAGATGGGAACGTTGAGGCGCAGCTGCCGCCCCTCTCTAGAACTTCAACTTGTCGAGGCCGACAGCGCAGAGCAAACCGCCCGGGTTTCGAGTCTCAGACTGCCTGACGCAGGGCTCAGGTTAGTTTTGACCCACTCAACAGAGAGCATAAGAGGGACCCCAGGTGTTTCATTTACGGTTAATAAGAGGTTCGCCCAGGTCAGGTGAGAGTTCTCTTCTTACTGTGTCGAATCAACTCGTTTGTGAGCAATTGCTAATCATATTAATATTCGTTGTATGTTGATTAGGTACTATATTAGTATTAATTATACTTATGATGTAGTCTCATTATTAGTATTAAGTGTTATTACTCATTGATTAGTGCTAATTATAGCATTATTTTATTTATTGATCGCACTAATTATTAGTATTATTATTTTGATCAGCATAATTATAGTATAATTATTACTTATTGATCATATAATTATTAAGCATTATTATGGTTAGTTATTAGTACTGATTATTAGTATTAATTATTACTTATTGATTATACGTTATTGTATTAATTTTATGTTATTAATTAGGATTAGTTAATTAAGTTAATAGTTAATTTAACTTAAGAGGTTAGGTTAATTAATAATTAATATGTATTTCACTAATGCAATGAATTAATGCATTCACTATACGATACTTCGGACTAATACGGGGGATAATTAATATTGCATTCACAAATTAATTATTGTCA